TATATATATACACACATATATATCTATATATGTGTATATGTGTATCAAAGAATTATTTTAAAATCAATTTCTTTATTATCCTTTTTCAGTAAGTGTTTGATTTCTATATATTTTATGTACCTATTCAGGGATACGTAATGTGCTTAGCAGAAAAGCACAGGGACTCCAAAATCCTTCTGTGACCTTGGAACAGAATTACATTTGAAGCCACTAAGGGATACACAAACATTAAGCCCTGAGGCAAAGGTCTTAATTGGCCTCAGGGCAAAACTTATAATAACCATTTTGTGTTTTGCGTCTTGTATTCTTACACACAAACAACAAGGAAAAGGTGAGCATGAGTCATTGTTTAAGCGTCTGACTTCCTCATGCACTACAGAGGGATGTTTTTCAAACTGAGGAACAGTAATCTTAACAAATTACAAAGGGTTTCCCTCCACGGAATCCAACATCTAGCGCAGTCGTCAGCTGTGTTATTTTTACAAATATTCATCATAGGCAATTATTGGATTATAGGGAACTTAGCAAAAAGAAAGAATGAACCAAAACCAATAAAGATACATATTTTTATAAGGCAAAATTATTCTTCTGCCACCTTGGAAATCATGGAAACAAGTTCTGAAACCTGAGAAATAAGACAAGCAGTGACTGCAACAGCACTGAGTAAAGAAAGGTCAAAAAGACACTTCTACTTACCAGAAGATCAAAAGGAAACATTTTAAATTCTGCTTGAAAAAGAACAAATTTGCTTTTTAAATGGTGCCAAAGGACCAAGCAAGTAGATTACTCAGTAATCCAATGCTCTAGAGGCAACAATCACTTACTTTGTAAATGGTAGGTAAGATCTGTTTCATTTTGAGCCTGTGAAATACAAAGACATCATAAACAGCTGAAACTGCTAGGACAGTCACTCCTTGTTCCTTCCACAACATGCTGCATCCTGCACACAGTCCAGTCCCCAGGAACCAGCCCCAAGTCCTGGCACTGTAGCCTCTTGTAGAACAGTGCTTAATGTAGCAGAGCAAGGAGAGGAGAAAGAAGAGACTGGCACCAACATCTGCCCGTCCTACGATGCCTGCCACTGCCTCTGTGTGAATGGGGTGAGAAGCGAACATCAAACCAGCCATGAAAGTCCAGTATCCATCCCCAAGGAGGACCTTGGAGAAGTGTGTGAAGAGACCGGTGACAGCCGCATGCAACAGGACATTGACAAGATGGTAGCTCCAAGGATTCAGTCCTCCAATAGCATAGTTCAGTCGAAAAGAAAGAGTGCAGAGTGGCCGGTAGGACTTGTGGCTACCGCTGTGAGTTAGAAGAGTCCCCCAAAAATCATTGTAGAAAATGTGTGTCCATGGGGTTTCTGGGAGGAGGTCCTGATTCGTCTTGATAGCACGGCTGAAAAACAAAATGTTAAAAAAAAAAAAGGTAAATGTAAAATACAAAAAGAAAAAGAAATATGGCATTGATGAGATAGCATCTTCTTCAAAAACTTGTTTATTATATGGCTTTATGATGGGATTCCAAGTACATACAGGTTGAACTTGGATCTTGTCATTAACACTTACTAACACTACACTGAGGGATGGTTTTCTTTTCCTGCAAAGCTTTTTCCTTGTTGGAAAGAAAAATGTTTGAAGAATAAATACATGGGTTCCACCAATGATTTTAGCCTCAGTGTAGCAGCTCCCAAACAACTGCCCCGATGCCTCTGTGTCATCCTAGCTAAGAATGCAGTCTGGAGGCTTCAAGTTAGCATGCTGCCTGGGATTCTACATTAAAAATATATATTTTTTATTTATTATTTTCATTTTATGAGTGTAGTGCCTGCATATAGGTAAGTGCACCCATGCAGTACAATGCCCGCAGAGGACAGAAGAGACTGTTGAATCACATGGAACTGGAGTTATGGACAGTTGTTAGCTGCCATGTGGGTGTTAGGATTCGAACCTGGGTCTTCTGCAAGAACAGTGTTCTTAAATACTGCACTATCTCTCCAGCCCCAAGGTATTCTACATTTTTAAGATGGCCCAGGAACTGCTCATCCAGGGGATACAGCTAGATCTAGGACTGGCCCCTATTCAAAATGAACTTTAAATAGAACAGCAGGTCCCAGAGTACTGCTTCTCCTAGGCACAAATCACCTGGGTATCAGGGTGAAAGGTTGGCTCTGATGGAGGACAGGGGAGAAGCCAGAGATGATACCACACCACTGGCATGTTCCCCAGCACTATTCATGCTGTTGGTCCTTAGACTAGAGAGGGCCTAGAGATCTTGAGAGACAGGAAGATGGCTCTTCTCCTACCTAGAATTTCCTTCTTGCCTTCATCTGTTTCATGGCCTTTCCCATTTCTCTCAAAGGAGTTACTATCACCTGTAAAAATCACAATGGCACTTCATTGTCTCCTGATAGGAAAATATATCCAGGATTTCATGCCTCAGACTTCCACATAAATACCAGGAACGAAGGAGCTACTGTTTGCCGAGCACCTGCTATCTGGCAATTTGCCCCCTTGCTATATCTTCTCATTTAAACTTTAGAACAGCACTGATGAGGCAGATCTTACTATCTACATCTCTAAGGTGAGGAAATTATGGCTGAAAAAGATTAATTAAAACTAGTTCAGCATCATATGCATTTGGAATAGTAGCAAAGGGCATGACAGCTTGTTCTGTTCTTACGATTCTGAATCTCAGAAACTATCATCCATATACCACTGGAGACATTTAAGAAGGTAGATATACCCTGTAAAGCTGTTAATTGCTATACTTTTAATGTGTATTGGAAAGAAAATTTATCTTATCCATGGTAGATTTTAGTAATACTTATTCAGAATCAAACTATCAAAATTTTAAAGTATCAAAACAAATAATAAGTAATCAATAGTCCTAAGAGGATAAATTACTCATGTTGAAGAAGATATGTAAATGATTCCATTTAAAAGATTCTTCATTTTACCATGATAGTTCCTGGTCAATAGGATGGCACTGCAGTATTTTATGTCCCTAGTACAGTGATCTCTATATTCTCAGAGCATGACACAGGCACCTGAGTCAGAAGGCAAGAGAACTATGAAGCTCTATAACTAGAAGACTCTCAACTAGTCCAATATCAGGGCTTCTTAAAGCATTTCAGGCATTTTAGAAGCTGAAGAACACATGATAGGAGGCTGACCCAAAGATTCAGACCTCCAAGCTCCTTCACCAGTTATGCTATATGCTGAAAGCTCAAAAGACACTCATGAATATTACCAAAAATCACACTGGAAAAGCTTTGGATTAAAGGAAAGAGCTCTGAGTCCCATTTCTGTAATTCTTGTCTGACTTCAAAACCATTCACATGGGTTAAGCTTCCCATCTAAAGGGACTAAAAGAGAAACAGCAGAGTTCGTATTCCACGGGGCTTAGACAGCTAGCCAATGGTGACGTTCTACTGCAGCTCTAATTGCTCCTCAATGAGCCTCTCCGAGTTTGTGTCTGTAATAGTCTTACCTTAAAATCACTTAGAAAATACTTGTAATTATTCATTTATCTTCACTAGAGAGGAACAAAGGTCATTGTTTTTAGACACATGAGCATTCTGAAGACCCTCTGCCCTATTAGCCATTATTATTATATATAAAGATTGCTATATAATCTACCAAAAGTCCCTTATTAAAGTCTACTTGGCTCATAACTTCTGAAATCAAGTATATTTTGGGTTTAGAATTAAAACAGGCTATCAGTTATTGATGATTTATTGATGATAATCTATACCCTGCCAATTTCTATACTAGTACCTTATGTATATAAGACTTATGAGAACTAGTCAGTGTTTCTCAATGTTCACCAAAAACAGTTCTGTTAAAACTATATCTTAAAATGACAAGGCAGAAACAGCTTATTGTTCTCAAATATATATGGTTTTCTTTTTCCAACTTAACAGAATTTCAGTTTTAAACTGAGCACATGGTTATTTCTCCTATTCCCTTTGATGTTAAATATGGTCATGGGATAACTTCCAGAAAGCATCTTGAGAGGGAAAACTTATCCTCCTGTCTCTAGTCCTCCTTTTGGCAACATGGAATGTGCCATGGTCCATAAAGTGTCCTTGGGGATAGAAGTCACGCACAGCAGGATAGAGGACACTGACCATACCAGCCCATGCTAACAACCTTTCCATTTCTGTGAGAAATGCCCTGCTGTTTCTTCTAAGCTACAATATGTGAGTGTTAACTAGTAGCAGCAGCTGAGCAAAATCCTTTGTTAATGGAAGACCAACTACATCACAGTGGTTTGATTTTCCATTCTGATTTTTCATGTCTCCGTGTATTGACTGTGTATTAAATGAATTTCCATATAAATTGGCTTTTAAAATATTAGAAACAGATGTTTTTCTGGATCCATTAAATTAAAACACCCTGCTATGACATTCATCAAGAATCCAACCCAGAAGTAATTGCTTAAGACTTGATGGGTTATAATTAAAATTTAAAAGAAATATGAAAAACTGCCAAACTGCCAAACAGTGTTGTAAGAGAGAGCAGATTTCAAGCACTTCAGAGTGAAACTCAACTGTCTTCTATGAGACATTAACCTTGAAGTTGAGGTACATGTCTCTAGTAACAGTACAGAACCACAGAACTAGCCTTGCCAGGGCCTTGAGACTCAGGACACAACATTCAGGGATAGGTTTTGCTGATCCAGTGAGGAAAATTTAGAAACAACTAGGACAATGCTTCAACCTCCCAATGGAAGGACAGGAAGGATGCAAAGCAATCTTCACTGACCCAGTTATTCTGTGGTACTTGTTCACTGTCTTAACCAACTCTGTAAATGCTTTCAAAGAAAAAAACCAAATCAACCAAATCAACCAACCGTAAAAACCTGTTCAAATCTGTTGAAAGTTCCTATCTTCATAGCAATAAACCCGGTAACCTGAAGCAGCCAAAAATAAACAATATCTAATCCTCACAAAATGAGGATTTCAAAACAAGGAACAAGATTAATAAATCTTACAGTTTCACTGGGAGAAACTCTCTGAAGCACAGCAACAAATTTAAACTCTTCAAAGGAAGGGAAAAGAAAAAAACTAAAGGGCAAACAGCATTAATAAAACAAAAATGGAAGAGCAAAAGCATCCCTCACCCATGTGTGTAACACACTAGATTAAGGGAAACGTCTGTGTGATAAAAATCCATAACAGGTGTTATCCACCTAAGCAGGGCTTATATTTAACCAATGAATATTATGACACTAGAATATGAAATGATACTAAATTGCACTGCGCTTTAATATTTAAGTCATGGCACATATGCAAGTCAGTGATAAGGCCTGCATCGCACCACCATTCAGCATGTCTGAAGAAACTGATTCTAGGGCTGTACGTCACTGGTAAAGCATGTATATACCATGCATAAGGCAAAAAAAGAAGACAGACCAAATCTGAGTAATCTGATGGTAAGATGAGAACAGGTAGTCATTCAACACTAAGCAAAATAGATTTTGATCATTTGCGTTTTCTCCTATGAGTCCAAAATAGCACTAGTGAAAACGACTTCTGCTATTTCACAGCCAATGAAACCGCTTAACACAAAACAAACTTTCATGCTGATATAATTCCTGGAGTTGCTTGTATGAGCTGGTGCTGAAAATTCAGAAAGACACGAAAGGATCAGGAAAAGTTCCACTCTAGGAAAGGTAACGGGAGGAATTCGAGCAGAGGATGTGAAAAAAACAACTGCAGACAGAATTCTCTAAAGAACACAGGACTGAGAGACTGTCTTTTGAAGCAAAAAGACCTAGTGTCTCATGTTTTCACAGAGGTCTTAACCTGATTCCAGTTATGCTCATTTGTGCCTCTTTGTTTTTGCTGTCTTACGATTTTTCTTTTGAGAAATACTGACAAAGGCCAGCACTGTTGTAAAGCTGATTGATGGTGTGGCACAGGTGTGTGTTCTCATCACTATTTTTTCTACCTGCTGACCTTTTCAGTCACAAGCACCCTCACAAGTGATGACCATTAGTCCTTCAGAGCCTAAATGATGCTTAGATTCAAACATCAAAAGCCACACTGCTCTGTCACTGTTCTCTTGGTAAGTAAGTAAAGGATATCGTAGGTTAAAATTGCTTTATAAGAGAAAAGAAGAAAAAAATCGCCTTTGTTAATGCACCCTTCTTCAGAGCTATGTAGACAAGCCTATGTATGCTAAGCAAGGGCAGTGTAAAACAGGTTAAGAAAGTGATTCCAGGGCTGGAGAGATGGCTCAGTGGTTACGAACACTGGTTCTTCTTGCAGAAGACCCAGGTTCGAATCCCAGAACCCACACGGCAGCTAACAACTGTCCATAACTCCAGTCCCAGGGGATCCAACAGCCTCTTTTGACCTCTGAGCGCATTGCATGACATGGGTGCACTTA